CAGAGCGGCTTTCAATCTCCTTTCCCTTCCCCTCCCCACAACAGGCACCCTGTGAGGTAGGTGGGGCTCAGAGAGCTCTGAGGGAACTGCTCTTGAGAGAACAGCTCTGAGAGAACTTGTGACTGACCCAAGGTCACACCAGCAGCTGCAAGTGGAGGAGTGGGGAATCAAGCCCGGTTCTCCCAGATTATAGTCCACTGCTCTTAACCACTACACCAAACTGCCTCTCCTATTCAATCCCCAGCATCTCGAGTTTAAAGGCTGATGCAGCAGGTGATGTGAAAGGCCTCTAGCAGAGACCCTGGAAAGCAGCCAGGAGTCTGAGTAGGCAGTGCAGACTTTGATGGGCCAAGGGTCTAATTCAGTCTAAGGCAGCTTCATGTGTCCATGTGCCAGTTGGAGGCACAGTGTGATCTGATCCAGCCTGGCAGGTCTTAAAGCCAACATCTTCAATGCTCTGTAGCAGCTGCACCAGAAGAGACATGTGAAGCTACTGAAGCTCTGTTAGCATAGGAAGAGGCTCACCAGAGCAAGCTGGAGCAGTTTTGAAGAAGGAGGAGGAGGAGGAGGAGGAAGAGGAGGAGGAAGAGGAGGAGGAGATTGGATTTATTCCCCACCCTCCACTACCCAAAGGAGTCTCAGAACGGTTTACAATCTCCTTTCCCTTCCCCTCCCCACAACAGACACCCTGCAAGGTAGGTGGGGCTGAGAGAGCTCTGAGAGAACTGCTCTTGAGAGAACAGTTCTGAGAGAACTTGTGACTGACCCAAGGTCACACCAGCAGCTGCATATGGAAGAGTGGGGAATCAAACCCGCTTCTCCCAGATTAGAGTCCACACTCCTAACCACTACACCAAACGTTAAGAGAAATCTCCACCCACCCCCTTCCAGTCTCTACACATGCAAACACACAGCCCCCACTTTCTGAATTCAGCACATCACTTGCTATTACTCAGGCAAATAATAGCAGACTTGAGAAGGTGGCCAAAAAAGAATTTCTTTGCTCCCCGGCAGATCAGTCAGCACCAGGGACGCTTCCAGATTCTGCTGATGCCGGGCAAAAGTTTGAGAAGCGAGAGGCACCTGACAAAAGCCACACTAGCTCTCCTACCGCACAGCCATCCCCGACTGAATTCCCAGTAGCATCACAAAAGTACACAACAAGACTTTTGACGAGCGCCGCGCATCGCTGATGTCACTTTAATCTTTCTTCCCCCCTATTCAGTTATAAAATAGGTCAGGGCCAAACGCAGAAGCAAGCGTCGGAAACAGCGCCAGTTTGCCTGACAATGGATTACCCACACACACAGACACACAAAGTAGAAATTGTCACAACAGGCACCATTTGTAAAGGCTACGGGACTTCAGATGTACTTGCAATCCTGTCATGTACAGGCAATGTACAGGGGCTGAGACAATGGTCTAGATGCTCAGGTGCAAGGGCCCCCCCTAATCTGACTAAGAACTATCCTGTGCGGAAGGCTTTCCAGAGAAACGGGATCTGTCCGGCAGGACACACCTGGATGTACAGACAGAGATGGAGCTCAGAGCTTGGACTGAAGGCTTGAGAAAGTCTTAGCCTGAGCATCTTTGGAAAGCCTCGACAAACTTTCCTGCTTGGGTTTGGCTATGGAGCTCAAGGCTGGGACGGAAATTCAGTTTGCAAGAGTGGAGCAAGGCTCCTCCCCCCATCAAGTCACAGCTGACCCCATGGGGTATTCAAGGCAAGAGAGGTTCAGGGGTGCTTTGCCAAATTGCCATTGCCTGCCTCTGCCTCCCGGCCCTGGTATTCTTTGGAGGTCTCTCATCCAAATACTAACCAGGGCTGACCCTGCTTAGCTTCCGAGATCTGACAAGATCGGACTGGCCTGGGCTATCAAGGCCAGGACGTTCCGTAGGTCATTCATCCACAAGGTTGCCATAAGCTGGAAGTGACCTCACGGCTCATGGTGCACACACGAATCAGAAATCTTCCTGTTTTTCTGAGTGCTGATTTTGTTACCTATGCCCAGGTGTTCAGGATGAAAATGACAATGCTCCTTAACAAGTGAAGGATGCAAATTTTAGAAACTCTCCTGGATTTCCCCCATTGGAGTAAGAAGAAGAAGAGGAGGAGATTGGATTTATACCCCGCCCTTCACTCGGAGTCTCAGAGCGGCTAACAAACTCCTTTCCCTTCCCCTCCCCACAACAGACACCCTGTGAGGTGGGTGGGGCTGAGAGAGCTTCGACACAAACTGCTCTTTCAGGCACAAGCTAGAGGAGTTCAGGGGGGCTCCATATGGGCATGCGGGGGTCAGCAGGTGGGACTTAGCCCAATGAGCTACCCATGTTTGTGTGCAATCAAAACTCTGTGCTTGCACAGAAGGGGGAAGGGGATGGGCAGGCAAACAGTATGAACTGTCAGGATCCACAGCAAAACAACGAAGTACACGCTTCCAAGAAGGTTTTACTTTTATTGAAAAGCTATAGATGTGGTAACATGAACACTGTTAGGAATGGCGGGTTACCTATGTGCATAATAGGATATAGGGCATTCGTATGCACCCCCCCACGTAGTGCCCAATTAAAAGGGTTCCCGCGTGCGGGCATTTGGCTGAGAACTAACGGCTGCAGAAGCTGGGAAGGTAAAAAGCTTCTCACGGGTTGTAGACACACCAACTCCTCCAGCGGCCTTGAGAGATATGCGTTACAGCTAAGATGCAATTAAGCGCATGGGAAGGAATGCACAGCAATTAGAAACATACACCACACTCACCTGCTGGAATGCCGGGGGTTTGGCATAAACTCTCAGAGCCTGGCTGACACAGCATAGCTGTCTGCACTCCAGGCTCCACCCCCAACTTCCCTTCCCCTCTATTAGTCTTGGTATGGCTGTCCAAGACTCCCAGCCTGATGACAAGAACCTAGGGCAAGGGTGTCGAACATAAGGCCCAAGGGGCGGACGCGGCCCGTGCAGGGCTCTTATCCGGCCCGCAAGCAACTGGTATGTATGGAAATGTAAGGTACTCCCTCTTTTATGGCATCCCTTGGGGGAAAAAACCTAGTCTTGCATATGATTCAATACATTTATTGGGTATTTTGTGGGTTCCTCGGCAAATCAATTGCTTTCACTGTTAGGAATCAATTGCTTTTGTTTGTATTTTGAGCAAAAATAATACGTTGTCGAAGGCTTTCACGGCCGGAGTTCATTAGTTGCTGTAGCTTTTCCGGGTTGTGTGGCCCGTGGTCTTGGCATTGTAGAACCCGACGTTTCGCCAGTAACTGTGACTGGCATCCTCAGAGGTATAAACACAGAAAGATGGAATACTCTGTAGCACCTTGACACAGAGTATTCCATCTTTCTGTGTTTATACCTCTGAGGATGTAGATATATGTATGTATATATATGTTTATACCTCTGAGGATGCCAGTCACAGTTACTGGCGAAACGTCAGGTTCTACAATACCAAGACCACGGGCCACACATCCCGGAAAATCTACAGCAACTAAAAATAATATTGTTAGGCCCTGGTCACACGGAGCATTAGGCACGCTAGAGGGACGGAAGATAGGTGGATTTTCCGGGCGCGATCTCACCGCCACATCTGGGAAGCGTCGAGCTCCTGTGGCGAACCCGAGGCTTCCCGCGGAAGATGCGCGGTAAAAAAACCTGAAACCGCGGAGACTTCGGGAAAAAACCTGAAACCGCGGGGCAAGGGCGGGCGTCTGATTGCATTTCCGGTGGTAATTCCGGCACCCACCCATGTCCCCTCGCAAAAAGTTTTTTTTCAAAGTCTCCCTGGATGCGCACAAGCACCCAAGGGAGCATACGCACATTTGAGTTTTTAAAAAACCCCAACCCCGTTTACCCCGCGCCCCGCTTCTTTGCCGTTCCGCAGGACTGCGGAGTGATCGGCACTTCCCCCCTACCACGGGACCTCCACGGGACCTCCATGGTAGGTCTGCTCACGCAACTGCGCAGTTTTTAGCCCCGGGGCAAACAGCCACGCTCCCCCCCCCCCCATTTTCCTGCCCATGTGCCCGCAGCCTTAATTGGGTCTCCCTGTGTCCCTTAGAAAGTTTATATCCCCTATACCTGACATTAGATTTTATGGCACACATTGGCTCGGCCCAACAAAGTGACGTTTATGTCAGATCTGGCCCTCGCAACAAATGAGATTGACACCTCTGACTTAGGGCATTATTCCTCCTGGGTCTGCATATGCCTCGGGATGGGGTAGGAATGACCTGGTAGAATCCTGAGATGGTAGACCAGGCTACCCTTTGTGCACTCTCCTTTTAATCCATGCTCACCACGGTATCCTCCAAGCAATTCTGCACTAAAATCAAATGCGACCTTCTTTTAAATCCAGGGTTCTTGGTTTTTTTCCCCATTCTGCACTAAAATCAAGTTCAACCTTCTTTTTAATCGGGTTTTCCCCCCCCATTCTGCATTACGTTACCTCCCTTCAGCGGTCAGCCCGGTTTCAGCCTGCTGTTGCCCTGGGTTATTTGGAGGCTGTTTTGCCCTGGACTTAAATTGCCTTGACTCAAACACTGAGAAAATCCAGAGTGGCCAGCAAATGCGGAAAGGACCTACCTGCTGTAGCCAGAAGGTATCGTTTTTGGCTGCCTTGCAAGCAAAAACCTTCCCCACGAGTAAAAAGGCAGTGCACTGAAAGATTCTAGGCTTGTGCTTCACCTGCTGGGCTAGTTTTCTACTTGCAGGGAGCTTTTAACAGATGGAAGTGTTTAAAAGAAGCAACTCCACTGCTTGAGCCGCTCAGCATTGCACAGCAGGCGAGACTGCGGAGCGGTTCTAGAAGCTAACCCAACTCAACAGGGAGTGCTGCTCTATAGAAGAACACAAGACTGACGGCATCTGGCGTCGGGAACAATGCCTGGACCCACAGGGAGAGGTGAGCAGGAAAACAAGCTGTCTGGGACTGCTTTCTATTGTGGTCGGTCATCCTGGATGCCGCCTGTCGCCTTCTCATGAGACACGGCCCACGCCTCACCTTGAACATCTGCTTGACCTTCTGCCGGGGCAGGTTGACGTTCAGTTTGTGCATCAGCTGGAGGACTTCGTTGATGCTCAGGCTGCCGTCGCCATTTTTGTCCGCCTCGTCAAAGGTTTGCTTCAACCACATGTAGGGGGAGTCAAGGAAAGGAGAGCAAATCAGTGGCGGGGACAGCATCCCCACACACACACACACAGAGGAAGCGCCCAAATCCAGGCATTTAACAAGGGCAAAGAAGCATAAGAAGAGCCACACCGGATCAGACCGACGGCCCATCAGATCCAGCATTCTGTTCACACAGTGGCCAACCAGCTGCCTCTTGGAAGACCAGGAGAAGAAGAGGAAGAAGAAGAAGAAGAGGAAGAAGAAGAAGAACAGGAGGAGGAGGAGGAGGAGATTGGATTTATATCCCGCCCTTCACTAGGAATCTCAGAGTGGCTTACAAACTCCTTCCCCTTCCCTTCCCCACAACAGACACCCTGTGAGGTAGGTGGGGCTGAGAGAGCTCTTTTGAGGACTGCTCGTGAGAGAACAGCTCTGAGGGAACTTGTGACTGACCCAAGGTCACACCAGCAGCTGCACGTGGAGGAGTGGGGAATCAAACACGGTTCTCCCAGATTAGAGTCCGCCCTCCCAACCACTCCACCAAACTGGCTCTGCAACAGCATCTTCCCGCCCGTGTACCCTGGCCACTGATAGAAAGAGGTACCCTGCCTCTGGGACTGGAGGGAGTAGACACAGAGCCCACCTTCCCACCACAAGATGGAATCATCCATCCACTTCTAGCCATTAGTTCGTCTGGACCAGCACTGATCCTTCCGACCTGCATCAGCTCTCCAAGATCCAAGGCAGGGGTCTTTCCCAGTTTAGAAAACGAAATAGGTCCAGGATCAGAGCTGGGACCTTCTGTGTGCAAAAGCCGGCCTAGCCTCTGAGCTACAGGGGCCTCTGGCCAACCGAGCCCAGGAACCTGCCTTCTACTAAGTCAGACCTAGCTCAGTATCATACATTCTGGCAAGCGTCTCTTCTCAGAAGGCGGCAGAGGCTGCCTTCCCAGCCTGGCTGCCTTTGAACTGGAGACTGGACTTGGGCCTTTCTGCATAGAAAACACCTGCTTGGTCACTGAGCGATAGCCTCTCTCTGGTGGATTCTCAGATGGGTCCTTGTGGCACCTCCATGCAAATCCAAACAGTCACATAATATGAGCAGAGGAAAGAGCAGGTGGCTGCAGGACGTGCCCACAGAGCAAAGCCCACCATAGTGCTAATATGCAATCAAAGGCATATTAGCCAACAAGAGAGAAGAGATTGGATTCCTACCCCGCCCTTCACTACCCGAGGGAGTCTCAGAGTGTCTTACAAACTCCTTTCCCTTCCCCTCCCCGCAGCAGACACCCTGGGAGGTAGGTGGGGCTGAGAGAGCTCTCTTGACAACTGCCCCTGAGAGAACAGCTCTGAAAGGCTGTGTGACTGACCCAAGGTCGCACCAGCTGGCTGCATGTGGAGGAGCGGGGAATCAAACCCGGCTCTCCCAGATTAGAGTCTGCGCTCCTAACCACTACACCAAACTGGCTCTCACTACACTACACAAAACAAGCGGTGCCATCCGAGAGGCCTGGTTGCAAGTCACCACAGGGCGATGCCTAGGAGACTGACTCACTGATCAGGAAGCTCCAAGTCTCCTGCAGGTCTCTCTTGGCCTCAGCCCCTCTCCACCTGCAACACAGGGGGGGGGGATAATACTTGCTTGAAAGGGGTTGTTGCATACTGGGCCCAATCGGTGGAATGGGGGTACATTTCACTGAAGGCCCAGAGGTCAGTGGACAGTGAACTGAATTTATCCTCATCAGAACTCTGAAAGGTAGGCTAGGATAACTGGTCCAAAGTGACTAGGTAAGCCTCATGAATTAAATCAGGATTTGAACTCGGGGTCTGCCTGCTCAAAGTCAGTGCCCCTCATGGCTCTCTTTGATGCATGCCATCACTCTAGGGATCTCCCTACAGCGTCACACCAATCCTTGCTCTGACTATCAAGAATCTACAGTTAAATTAACCCCAAATCTATTGTTTGAGAAGTTCACATGGCAAGGTTGGAACATTGGGTTTTAAAAAATAATGGGCTTTTTTAAAAATAATGAAATGAGCTTTAAGGAAACAGGATAGCTGATAAGGATACTGGTCTCTCGTCCTCTGCCTTTTCGACAAGCTGTCTTCATCACTGATGCCGGCCATCAGGTACTTGAGGCCTGTGATCCATGTCCGAGCCTCTTCCCCGCTGGACGAGACCAGGTCCAGGGACTCCATGTGGTCTCCGTAGTAGATACTGAAGCAACAGTTGGGGTCGAAGCTGCCATCCGCGTAGCGCTGGAAGATCTCGGACTGTTTGCCCTCACACACCTCCTGGATCGAATCTATAGAGACTGGAGTGGGGAATGGGTGGGGAATGGGTGGAAAGGAGAAGAAAGACGTCACATGAAGTTGTGCCTGGCAACAGTGCAGTGTCTGGAATAAAGCCTCACTCCCAAAAGGGGTATCAGGTGATGCCCCCTGTCTTACAGGTGATAAGAAAAACTCAGAGGAGGACCAGTCTATCAACTAAGAGCCTCCAGGCTCAGTGGCAGTCTACCTCTGAATAGCAGTTGCTGAAGGACAAATGACAACAAGCAGGGGTCATTTCGTAGAAAAAGAGGTGCAGGAGCTCATTAGCATAACTCACTAGCATAACTTATTTGCATATGCCACACACCCTGACATCACCGGAAGTGTGTCAGAAGGCAACACCCACCGCTCAGGCTCCACTGGATTGTTTTGGATTGCTAGTTATCGGGGGGAGGGGGACGTGCAGAGCTGTCCTCACAGAGGAGGGAGAGCTTGTACCTGAATAAAACTTGGTCTTAAAGGTGCTACTGGACTGTTTTGGACCGGGGGGGGGGCTCTGCAACTTCCCTGGCTGCTTCTTGCTCTGACGGAGGGCTGCGGGGAGCAGGGGGCGGGGCTTGTTGCATGTGCCCGCCCCCTGGGCTCTTTACTGCCGAAGCTCCGCTCCTGTGCGCTCCTGCAGGAAATGACCCCTGACGACAAGAGACCCAGATTCTTTTGCTACCATGGAAACAGGATGCTGAATGAGGTGGACCCTTGGTCTGATCAAGCAGGGCTCTTCTGAGCAGCCCTCCCCCCTTTTCCTTTTGCATTTGTGGACTGTCTCCACAAAAACATCTCAGGATTGGGCACCTGACGGCAGCAGCAACAGAAACCTGTTGTCATCACTGTGTCTCTCCCAAAATCAAAGACTCAGACGACGAAACTGTCCGTGAATGAGAAACTGTCCGCGAATGAACACTTTGCACAAAATGTGCTTCGCATAAGGCAGTTTCACACCTGTGTAAAGAACCTGGCTGTGTTTCCGTCCAATCAGAAGCTCAGAGGAAGGTAGCTCCCCATCGTCGTGTCAAATAAGATTTAAAAATGGTGGCGAATCACGTCAAAAACCAGGAACCATTTTGGAATTATAGAAACAGTTCCCCTGAAAGATTGGCAGCCGTTGAGCAGAATAGATGAAAAATACAATATATATATAAAAAAGCACCCAGCAGAAAGCATAATTTTTGGAGATTATGGTATACTGTTGAGATTACAAAATGCACCTCACTTTAAAATCAGACATCTGTTCTCTAGGACCTGCGTTCTGCCAGGAAGGAAGAGAGAGATAATACACTTGTATGCGGCAGCAGAGATCAGAGAATCCCAGACGGAGAACATTTCTAAGAACCTAAGAGCGGTCTCGCTGGACTGGACCCAAGCGTGAAAGTGACGGCCGTCTTCTACTGTTTACTGTCAGTTGGTGCTTATTTCATCAATGTCGAAACAAAAGCCAACAAAATTGTAAAAAAAAGAAGAAGCTTTTTTAAAACATTTAAAAGCTCAAACAAGAAGGACGTTGGAAATCAATGATCAGACCCTTTAATTCTTTATACTTCTTAAAGGGACAGCGGGGGGCCATGAGGGCTTGAGATTAAATTGGATGGCCAATGCTCCCTCTAAGCTGTGGAGTCTTGTGAGCAAAAATTCTACTTTGCGAGCTACCGGCGTTAAAGTGGTGAGCGAGCGATTCGGCTGCGGCATCAATTAGTTTGCTCTGGAGCCGTCCCTTCCTGAGCGAAGACAAAAATGTGTGAGCTGGAGGCTAAAACACCGTGAGCTAGCTCACACTCACTCAGCCTAGAGAGAACACTGAGTTGGGACCACAGTGTTGCGGTGTGCGTTCCCAGTGTTCCAAACAGGCCGCAAAACCTGACAAAGCCCCCCTTGGTGAGCTACCACAAATAGCTGCCAGGCTGCTTTCGGATGGGTGGGAGTTGTTCACACACAGCTTACGTCACGTTTGGCAGCTGCCAGTTCACATTTCACACATGCCTTGAGAGCATCGCCTCCCTTGGAAAGACGGCAACCCGTCAAGCGGAACAGATGAGGCGGTGAAACCAACAGATTCTGGAAGTCCCAATCTGACTGCTGGAGGTGTTAAAAAGAAAAAAAACCTCACACAAATATTCTTTAACCAGTTATTAGGGAATCAAGAAGCTCCCCATCTGTCGGTGGAACAACACATGCGCTTGTGGAGGGAGCATCTTCAGTTATATGACACTCCAGAGGGTACAAGGCCCAGGATGAAGGTCTGTTGTGATCAGTACACAGTCTTGGGTAAAAATTCTCTCTCTTGCTCTCTTTTTTTACTGATATCATCCAAGCTCCTTCCACTAGAAGAAGAAGAAGAGATTGGATTTATACCCCACCCTTCACTCGGAGTCTCAGAGCGGCTTACAAACTCCTTTCCCTTCCCCTCCCCACAACGGACACCCTGTGAGGTAGGTGGGGCTGAGAGAGCTCTGACAGAAACTGCTCTTTTTCAAGAACAGCTCTGACAGAACTATGGCTTGCCTGAGGTCATCCAGCCGGTGCAAGTGGAGGTGTGGGGAATCAAACCCGGTTCTCCCAGATTAGAGTCCACGCACTTAACCACTACACCAAACTGGCTCTCACACCAAACTGGCTCATTAGAAGTTGGATAAATGTCAAATGGGAAGTCTAGGACTATCTCTGAAGAAGAGTTTCTGGGAGCCACGGGAGGAAGGACTACTGCGTCCTTGCCTGTGTTGTTGGCTTCCTGGAATCATAGCCCTGGTGGGCTATGGCTGAAAGTAGGATCATGAGCAACCATGGAGCCCCGTTTGCAGCACTGCGCAGGGAGAAGGGAAGGGTCAGTGAGAGGAAGCCTCCCATTATGGCTGAGCAGGAAGAGGGGCTGGCAGAGAGGGGCATGTGGCTGCAGCAGTGGGAAATTTTGGCCCTCCCTTTACGTCCCCACTGCTGGACCTCCTGATGGCCCCTGGTCTTTTTGGCCACTGTGTGACAGACTGGATGGGCCTTTGGCCTGATCCATCACTGGCTTCTCTCTCGTGTACTGGGCAAGCCAATATCTGGCCCAGAAGGGGACAGGAGTGAGTGAGAAAGGGACAGGCCCCTTGGGAGGTAGGATACCAAATACCTGGAACACCACCCGCCCACCTCTTTTGGCCGTGTGGACCAAAGTTGAATGGATGCTGGACCAGACGGACCAGTGCTCTGATCCAACAAAGCAATTGCTCTTAATATGCAAAAAAAATGTGTCTTTGCTATGCCTGTGAGCAACTTCCTAGCTCCAGTTAGTGGAGGCTGCCAAGGAGCGCCATCAATCAGTGTGCCTTTTCACCGATTACTCAAAAAAAATGTGTCTTTGCTATGCCTGTGGGCAACTTCCTAGCTGCACTTAGTGGAGGCTGCCAAGGAGCGCCGTCAATCAGTGTGCCTTTTCACCAATCACGGAGAGCAAAGCTATGAACATGTGACTGGATTGGTCCATTGGCATTTCTAGAGCGGGGTTCCCCGGTAGGGTGCCCACGAGTGCCATAGCAGCTGCCAGCACTTCCCCTTGGCACCTGCTGAGCTTTTCAGAAAGTGGGTGGGGCCCGCCGTAAGGCAGCACTTGTTACGGGTTGCCCTCTTTCGAACGAAAGGGTTTTCCACTGGAGGATCAGGAGGACTGGGAAGAACATGGACTTTCCTCCGTCAGTGTGTGGTCCCATCCTTCCTCCTCCTGCGGAAGCCATTTCTGGCTTGTCTGCACCTCCTGTGGAAGCCGTTTTTGGGGTAGTGTTTGCCACCACCTCTCAAAATTCCAACCACGCCCCCAAGCTCAAAAAGGTTGGGGACATCTCCTGTAGCCCAGTACAGGAGATAAACACAACTGGATATGCTAGGTATCGGACCTTGGGCCTTGTGCATAGAACTCAGGTGGTCTGTAACAGCATTATGGCCAGTTTGGTGTAGTGAGCCAGTTTGGTGTAGTGGTTAAGTGCGTGGACTCTAATCTGGGAGAACCGGGTTTGATTCCCCACTCCTCCACTTGCAGCTGGCTGGATGACCTTGGGCAAGCCGTAGTTCTGACAAGAGCTGTTCTTGAAAAAGGGCAGTTTCTGTCAGAGCTCTCTCAGCCCCACCCTCCTCACAGGGTGTCTGTTGTGGGGAGGGGAAGGGAAAGGAGTTTGTAAGCCGCTCTGAGACACCTTTGGGTAGTGAAGGGCGGGGTATACATCCAATCCCTTCTCCTCCTCCTCCTCCTCCTCTTCTTCTTCTTCTTCTTCTTCTTCTTCTTCTTCTTCTTCTTCTTCTTCTTCTTCTTCTTCTCCTCCTCTCTGAAGGTGTCTTATGCTGTCACCCCATTGGTCCATCTAAGCCACTGTCACCAAATCTGGCTGGCAGCAGCTTGCAAAGATGTCAGTCCCCCCCCCCCCAGAACAAATACCACAAATTCCGTTCCTGGGGTGGGGTGGTGGGCTGTCCTTCTTTGGAGGTTTTCAAGCAGAGGCTAGATGGCCGTCTGACAGCAATGCTGATTCTGTGAACTTGGGCAGATCACGAGAGGGAGGGCAGGAAGGGTCGCATCCGTGCTTAGTTCTCGTGGCCCTTTCTTACATGCCCAGGGAAATGCTGAGCGCCACTTTGGGGTCATGAAGCAATTCTTCTCCAGGCCAGTTTGGCCGGGGATCCTGGAGGCTTTTTGCCATCTTCTGGGTGTGGAGCAGGGGTCACTGGGGGTGCAGGGGGGGGAGGTATTTGTGAATTTCCTGCATTGTGCAAAGGGTTGGACTAGATGACCCTGGAGGCCCCTTCCAACTCTATGGTTCTATGATTGTAAAAAGATCCTTTTCAATTGGAGGCACCAGGGACTGAGCTGGGACTTTATGCATTTTGCAAAGCACATGCTGGAGGACTGAGCACATGGCTCTTCTATGCAGACCTGTAGAGTGCATCATCCAAAGTCTCTCGTCCCAATACAATTTCAGGCCTAAGGGCTGGTCTATGCAGACTGTTGGGGGTTCACTGTTGGAACCTAAGATACTCTAGTTGCAAAAGGCAATTGGAGGTCAGTGTTGTATCTGAGGAAGGGGCTTTAATGCATCTGCTCCGTACTGCTTCCCAGATCAAAAATGCCCTCTTGGGTTGTGTCCCCCCCAAAGAGGGGGGGGGAACAAGCCCACCTTGTGTAGCAGTGTGGGTTAGAGTGACAAGTAATACCAAAGGGGTCCCAGGTTCAAATCCCCACTCTGCCATTAGCTCACTTGGCAGAAGGTTACTGTCTCTGCATAACCTGCCTCACAGGGTTGTTGTGGGAACCAAGGGGGATGGTCCATGTACTCTGAGCTTTTTGGAGAACCTGTAGGATAAAACTCTCTTAAATAAGTGCATTGCCTTTTTCCATAAGGGGCTTTTAAAAAGCCTGGGGGGGTGTCAGTTTTGATCAGGGAAATGTCACAGAGAGCGAAGCATAAACTCCTCCCTGTCTAATCCACGTCCCTAATCCATAGCCCCACACAACACTGCTTTCCACTGCTTTTTATTGCTATATTATATGCCCGGAGATCTAATCATGGATTCCCAGCATCCGATCCAGTTTGACCCAAAGGTGTTCAAGTGCCCGTTCAAAAACATGAAATGTAAAATGTGAATCACACCGGTCTGAATTTGCCAAGTCTGACCCGTCAAAACTGTATATGACAAAACGAAGCACTTTTCCCCCAATTAGTCTTTTTTTATTAGTCTTTTCGCAGTTCAGATCAGAAGTTCACCCACCCATGAGTAATCTGAACTCCTCAGAATAACGGCCACATCATAGATGCAGAAACCCATTACGGCTGGATCCCTGCAAAGCCTGGAATAAATTATCTCCCTCCCCAAAAAATTAGTTCCCTGTACCCAGCATATGGTGATTCATTTCTGCACGCCAGTCCAATCTCAAGAGGAGAAATTGGTCAGTTCCAAAGGGTGGCTGTCACGATGTACGGAGTGATGGAAGCCGAAAGACTCCAGAGGGAGGCCGCGGACTATAAAGGTCCTCCCGATAGAGGCTGTTCTTTTCTGCACTTGAAAATGCTTCAGAAAGGGGTGGGGGAAAGGCAGGCAAAGGGACCCCTAAATTATGAACACAGATTGAGTTCACGGTACCCGGAATGGGTAGACCGGCTGACAGCAAATTTCCGGTTGCTTTCCGCCACGCAATAGAAGGGGAACCATAATATAAAGTCAGCAAAAAGCAGAGAGGAGAGACCGTTGACAAAAATATAAAAGGAGTGCGAAAAGAAAGAAAAGAATCAAAATGGGGAGCATCCTTAGATGGGCCGCGTCAACAGATTAGTGGGGGGCCCCTCTGTGCTGAAGATAGGGTTGTCAACCTCCAGGAGGGGGCTGGCTATCTCCAGAATTACTGTGTAAAACAAAAATAAACCACACTGTGCTCACTTATATCACACATTCTCTATTATTATATAATAAAAATGGCATGTAGGTTAATAATACTTGTACATCAAAAGCATAACCCTCCTGGTATATAACAAAGCATCTTAAAGGAATGATACAGTTGAGAAGAACTTGTATCGGGGTTTTTTGTCTGAAGACGCCTCTCATGGCTTGACTTCAGGTAAGGTGAGATTCTTCCGAATCTCAGCTGGCTGACGTGTTTCGAAAATTTTCTTTGCCGAAGCCAGCGTGAAGAAAAGCCGATATCACTCTAAAGAGTCACCCAACTTTCATGGCATCAGCCTGCGGACAGTGGGTTCCAACTTCTGGCATCTCTTTCTCTAGAACCAGGGCTTTTTTTGTAGAAAAAGCCCAGCAGGAACTCATTAGCATAATAGGCCATACCCAACAGCAGGAACTCATTAGCATATTAGGCCACATCCCTGACAGCACAACTTATTAGCATATTAGGCCACACCCCGTGTTACCAGACGTGTGGTCATCCAGCCACACCCACCTTTTGCTTCTTATTCTGTTTACCTTATTTGTTGTCAAAACCAGTGCTTTTTTTGGAGGAGGAACTCCTTTGCATGTTAGGCCACACACCCCTAATGTAGCCAATCCCAATGAGTTCCTGCTGTTGGGTGTGGCCTATTATGCTAATGAGTTCCTGCTGGGCGTGGCCAACTTGTGAGCCAGCCGGAACTCCGTTCCTGAGCGTTCCTGCCCAAAAATAGCCCTGTCTAGAACTACAGCTGAGCTCTGGACTGTATAGATTGCTATTTGTTTGCTTGTTTAGAGCACTCGTGCCACTTCTCCTGGAGAAAATGGCTGCTTCGGAGGGTGGACTGTATGGCATTATACTGCCAGGGTCCCTCCTCGCCCTCCCAGGCCCCATCTTCAAATCTACAGACATTTCCAAACCCAGAGCTGGCAACCAGTGTTCCCTTTAAGCTGAGTTAGCGTGAGCTAGCTCACAGCTTTTTAGCCCCCGGCTCACACATTTTTGTCTCAGCTCAGGAAGGATGGCTCCAGAGCAAACTAATTTAATGCAGGTGCCAAATCGCTTGCTCACAACTTTAATCCCAGTAGCTCACAAAGTAGAATTTTTGCTCACAAGACTCCACAGCTTAGAGGGAGCATTGCTGGCAACTATAGTCACAGATCCTTACTTTTGGCTTTCTCGTTCTTCCGGGAGGGTCTCCAGCGAATGCATGACTTGTGCTCGTCCAGGTAGTAGAAACGAACAAGGCCTTTGGAACTGCCACGGAGTTTGATCATCTGAGTACCCGCTTGCATGGAGCTCATACATCTTTCCACTACAGGGGGAAAAAAGGAGAGGGAGAGAGGAAACGTTATGGGACAACCGCTTCCTTTTCACACTTAGAAAGACACGCGAACAAAATACATGATAGGCGACTTCTGCTGTGCGGAAAATCGAGGCGGATCCTGTGGCTCCATCACACAAACCACTGGATCGGACAGCCAGTTTGGTGTAGTGGTTAAGAGTGTGGACTCTAACCTGGGAGAACTGGGTTTGATTCCACATTCTTCCACATGCAGCTGCTGGTGTGACCTTGGGTCAGTCACAAGTTCTTTCAGAGCTGTTCTCTCAAGGTCAGTTCTCAAGAGAGCTCTCTCAGCCCCGCCTACCTCACAGGGTGTCTGTTGTGGGGAGGGGAAGGGAAAGGGATTGTAAGCCGCTCTTAGACTCCTTCAAGTAGAGAAGGGCAGGGTATTACTCTTCTTTTCTGCTGCCAGGACTTGGGAGGCTCTTTTCGCTGTGCCCTGCTGGCCAGTGGGTCAGAGACTGCAGAGTTCCCTGGACCTTTAAAAAAATACAACTCTGGAAGCTTTTGCTCTCTCTCTCTCTCTCTCTCTCTCTGACCAGGCCTTGGACAAAAAACAAAGGGACACTTTCAATTTTTGTGTGACTCACTTAGCTGTTTGCCAAAAGAGCTGACATGCAAATTTAACCATGAATATTATAACTGTCGGAGCTGCGGTGGCTCAAGTGGCTAAGGCACTGAACTGCAGGCTGTGGAAGGTCAGTAGTTCAGCAGTTCGAGACCCGAGTGTGCCGCATGACGGAGTGAGCTCCCGTCTCCAGTTCCAGCTCCTGCCAACCTAGCAGTTCGAAAGCAAGAAATTGCAAGTAGATAAATAGGTACCACTTCGGTGGGAAGGTAACAGCGTTACGTGCACCTCGGTGTTTAGTCATGCTGGCCACATGACCACGGAAAAGTCTTCGGACAGCGCTGGCTCTTCAGCTTTGAAACGGAGATGAGCACCGCAACCCTAGAGTCGGACTCGACTGGCTTTCGAGCAAGGGAGACCTTTACCTTTATTATAACTGTCAGAAATCTGGCTCAGCTCTAGCTGCATTCCATGAACACAGCCCCAGTTCGGTGTAGTGGTTAGGAGCGCAGACTCTAATCTGGAAGAGCCAAGTTTGATTCCCCACCCCTGCGCATGCAGCTGCTGGTGCGACCTTGGGTCAGTTATAAGTTCTTTCAGAGCTGTTCTCTCTCAAGGGCAGTTCTCGAAAGAGCTCTCTCAGTCCCACCTACTTCACAGGGTGTCTGTTGTGGGGAGGGACAGGAGATTGTACGTGGCTCTGAGACTCCTTCGGGTAGGGAGGGGTGGGGTATAAATGCAATCCCTTCTCTTCTTCCAGTAGGTTTCTAGCCCACCTGGAGATCTGCACACCACTTGAACTCTATCGTGTTTTCTCAGCTACTCCAAAGGTTTCAAAGCATACAGGTGCAACCTTTATGATACATGGAATTCGATATCTTTCATGCCAAGTTACCTAGGATACATCTGAATGTCTGTGACAGGGATTCTCCATGCCATCCCAGTCTAAGTTGCCTATGTTGTGAAATGGAACTGTGTGTGACCTTTTCTGCCAATTTTCCACTGGTACATCCTTGAACGGAGGAAGGGGTACACAAGACACACATTTACTCATTACCCTTAAACAAGAACCATGGAAGGACAGACTGCAGAACGTATCAAACACCTTAAAACATGAAACAACCTGATAAGAAAATGTGCGTCCGTGCAAACGAAATTCACAGAAATCTGCAGAGAATCATGAGAAGGCTGTGGGACAAAACACTCAATACCGCAAGGCTACCGAACAAATGCCGAACAGAATGAGCATCCCTAGTTTTAAGGCTCAGCTGATGCAACACTATGCTCTCAACTTCAGTTCACTTAACCATCTGGCTCTTGGATTTCTAACGCCTCCCAGGCAAAGTTTCGTAGCTTTATCGTCACCATTTGTCTTCCAAAATACAAACCATTTGGGCTGCCACGTTCCCCGTGTCTTCCCATCTGAGGAGTAAACTCCCGGGCTTCAGTTTGCATTCCACTTGCCATAAGTGCAAAGCAAAGAGGGAGAAGGGGGAGAAAATAATCATGCAACTTGGCCGCGTGGGTTATTGTCAATATTCCGGAAACCCTATAAAAAATTCACAAAGGCTCGTAGGGACAAATTGCTTTAGAATCAAGTGGTGCTCGGTATAGAGGGCATTAAAAATTAAGCGCAACAAGATTATTAGAATTGTATGCCGGATTTTGATGGCGGCTGGCTGTGAGGCGGCCCGCTGCCGAAGAGAGTTTGGGACGGGGAAGGTGGAAATTTACACGGATTGCGATCGATGCCAGCTAGGAGGTGCCAGCAGAACTTTCCGAAACTTGCTCCCTTTGCGGTGTGTAGGATGAGGGGGCGCTAGAGAATCTACAGGCCGGGCGCGCCTTAACACACAACGTATTCCAGATTCCTTTGCTGAGCAGAAGCCGGCTATAGAGTGACGTGGGTTGCCAGCCTCTAGGTGGGGTCTGGAGATTTCCCGGAATTACAACTGATCTCCAAACTGGCAGAGATCAGTTCCGCTGGAGAAAAGGGCTGCTTTGGAGGGTGGAGTCGACGGCATTATACCCTGCTGGGGTCCTTCCTGTCCCCCAGCCCTGCCGTCCCCAGGTTCCATTCCCAAACTATTTGCTTGAGGACACTCTAGCTCTGACTAAGACAGCCACACAGGTGCTTTTTGGACCAAAATTGGAAGATGTTCTCATTCAGCAGCTGTGCGTTTGGCACCAGACACATGACTTTCATGTTTAGAGGCCTCACAGACATCTTTGTCTTGTGCCTATTGATCTTGCTGCTTAAGTAAGGCCCCAGTCACACGGCAAAGTTGCCGCGGGAGAGGCACGGATGGTGGGCGGATTATCCGGGCGCGATCACACCCCAACATCTGGGAAGTGAAGCGCACCCGTGGCTTACCGCCGACAATGCGAGTTAAAAAACTAGTACCCCAAGGTACTAGTAAACGTTTGCCATGGACTGCCTCCAGACCCCCGTGGTGTGATCGCGCCAGTGCACGGCATTCCCCTCCGGTCCTTCGTTTACCCTGCCGGCGCCGAGGGAAGGACCCGTGGTGTGCCGCCGGTGTGTCTGATCACATAAGCACGGATCAAACTGCACCGGGGCAATTAGCCACGCCTCCCCCCCGCGATATCGGGCCCGTGTGACCGGGGCCTAAGTAATATAGCCAGTTTTACAACACTGTAAGTTAAAAAATATTTGATTATTCATATTCAGTTTTCTTTTTTCTTTTTTTCCCCTATAGCCTTCCTTCTCTTGGTCCAGTATTAACTTATTGGTTATCTTATTGTGTTGAGGCCACTCGAACTTTTTAACGAGGCCTTCATTGGGCCCTTATTTGTTTTTAACTGTCTTGTCTATTAAACACATGTATTTTTGTATACTATAAGTTTCAACTAGGTTTTTAATACTGGCCCTTTATCAGACTTCTTCCCATTCCCAAACCTCCAAGTATTTCCCAGCCTGCAGTTGGCAATGCTGGCGGTGGCTCCTCCCCTTTTCCAGCTGACCATTACCTTAGACACACGATACAACAGCAGTTGAGCAAAGTCTGAGCCTGATCAGTGCCAGGATGAGAGATTTCCTGAGAAACCCCCCCCACAGCACCCCCCCCCGAAGCATCTGCTCAGGGTGGCACTGTTTGTCTACCGTCTTGACTTCTGTGATGAAAGAAAAGCAATATAGACACAGGAGTGACTCTGAATTTCTCATCCTTACTCCAGAGTTCTCATCCTTTTGACCCCAAAAGGATGGGTTATACAACTAAAACAACGCAAGCAGAGCCATATAAGGGACACTATGAACAATGCAGTAACACAGGAACACAAAATCAGAGGGTAGCACACCACGAATCAGAGGGCAGTGCCTGGCAACTGGTGGGAGCTTCTGGGGCAGGGACTTGGGGTGGGGGCGGCATGGAAAACCTGGAAGTAACATCGGCAGGGGTCATTTTGTAGAAAAAGAAGTGCAGGGGCTCATTAGCATAACTCATCAGCATAACTCATTTGCATATGCCACACACCCCTGGCATCACCGGAAGTGTGTCAGAAGGCAACACCCACCGCTCAGGCTCCACTGGACTGTTTTGGATTGCTAGCTATTGGGGGGGAGGAACGTGCAGATCTGTCCTCGCAGAGGAAGGAGAGCTTGTACCTGAATAAAACTTGGTCTTAGAGGTGCCACTGGACTGTTTTGGGCCGGGGGGCCGGGGGGAGCTCTGCAGCTTACCTGGCTGCTTCTTGCTCTGACTGAGGGCTGCTGGGAGCGGGGGGTGGGGCTTGCTGCATGTGCCTGCCCCCTGGGCTCTTTACTGCCGGAGCTCCGCTCCTGTGCGCTCCTGCAGGAAATGACCCCTGAACATCGGGTAGGATCTAGGAATAACTGGAAACAGTGTTTCCTCTAAGCTGAGTCAGTGTGAGCTAGCTCACCATTTTTTAGCCTCCGGCTCACACAGTTTTGTCTTAGCTCAGGAAGGAGGGCTCCAGAGCAAACTAATTTATGCAGTAGCCAAATCACTCACTCACAACTTTAATGTCAGTAGCTCACAAAGTAGAATTTTTGCTCACCGGACTCCACAGCTTAGAGGGAGCATTGACTGGAAATGCTATTGTAAAACCACAGATTTCCTGCCAATTCCTAGAGCCACCCCTTATCACTTCTGGGCTTTCCCCCCCTGAAAGTGAGCTTGGGGTGCAGATGATGTCAACTCTTCTTTTCTTTTTCCACCACGGCCACTTGCAGTGGTAGCAGCAACGAGGGCTGTCAGCAGGAGGCCTCCTGGAAGCCTGAGATCAGACTGAATAAGCGAAATTGCAATTCATGAATCCACGAATGGCGGCGGTCCACTGTACTCAGATGCAAATGGAGGAGGGGAGAAACACGCATGATGCCTGGAGCTCCTGATAAGAAGGGTAGGATGAAA